AACTCTACTTATGGTCTTGGCAAGCAAAGGGTATTTTGGTCATTTGAGAATTACAGGTCATTTCAAGCCTATGCCCAAAACTCCTACAAGGAAGCTTCAAATGGAAAACTTTACAACATCAAACTTGTTCCAAATGACATTTTGAGTCTAGAAAAGTGACCATGAAAGATTGGAAAGATTCATAGCACAAGGTTTCAAAATTGTTGGATTTAATGAATATAAATGACCTAAAAAATGAGATTTTTCATATTTTGGCCAAATGAGGTGAAATTATAGGTTATTTTGAATGGAAAAACCATTTTGAGAACATTGGATGAAGTAGAATTTTGAGCTTGGTTCACATTTTGGAAGTTATTCATGGTTACTTATCATAGAAGAAACATAAGCCAAATCCAAGGGAAATCACACATGGGAAGTTTCTCCAAGTTTCTAGGAGATTCTAATGACATGTATATATTGATATGAGAGGATTCATGCCATGGTTGGTGATCACATTTACTCAAAACCACAAGTTTCACACATTTCTCTCATTTTGCAAAAGATTCTCAAACTACCTCAAATCTTCACCAATCTTCACCATTCTTGATCTGATCTTCATCCTCATCATTCCTAGATCACAATTCTCATAAGCATTTGGTAGATTGGAGCAGAACTCGTGCCACACACTTCCATCATCCAAGAAGCAAGAAACTTGGAATTGCAAGATCCAAGAGGTTTGAGTCCAATTCATTGCATACAGAAGTCAAGAACAAGCTCACTGATCAAGTTCAGACCATTACAAGCATCAGATCCAAGGAGTTCCATAGCTGTTTTCACCATTTTGCACCAGGTTAGTTCCTCTTCGAATTGACTGAATTAGGTAGAATCATAGTGAATCATTAGGTTAGAATGGTTAGGTATAGTTAGGTGCTTGATTTTGGTGAGTTTGGAGAAGTTTCATGGAGGTTGATCATGGAGTGCATAAACTGTTGGAGCTTGTAACTCATAGGATAATGCATGATAATCTTGGATCCTTAGCTCAGATTGATCAGCATAAGGTGTAGAGTAGGTTAGGGTAAAGATTGGAGAGAATTGAGATGGTTGATGACAAGTGATATTAATGGATTCAGAATGTTACACTCATCGAGTTTGATTATTGGTTGAGTTTTAGAAAGAATTATGGACATGGCTGTGTAGAGGGAAGAATTTAGAGCAACTTTGCTCTTGGCATCGTGTGGATTCATGGAGAAACAAGGGAGAACGAAGGTCTGGAAAATTCATGCATGGAGGTGAAATTTCAGAAACCCTAGAAGTTATTTGGGGACGATGATGGATAGCCGTAGGATCTGGTGTTTGACTTGGACCTGAGAGTTAATCCAACGGCCTTGGTTTAAAGATGAAAACGGAGGGAAACCCTGAAGGACTAAACGCATCGTTTCATTAATGTTTTCAGGATGGGCTTTGGATATCCTTGCTAATAGCACCCTCCCAATCAGGCCCAAAGGTAAAGTGAACTAAAGTCTTTACTATCTGCACCGTTTTTCATTTTTTAATTTTTATTATGTTTTCTGACTTGCATTGGGCCCAGACGCGCTTGCTATGCGCGCCCCCCAGTCTGGGCCCAGTTTATTCTTTTAACTGATTTCTCCTACTTTCTGCACCCCATTCCATTTAAATCCATTTTATTTTCTTTCAAAAAATATTAATTCTTAAAAAAAATCATAAAAAATAGAAAAATGCATGATTTTCATTGGTTGTTTTTTTACATTACTCATAATTTTGTCAAGAAAATTATCATACAAAAAAATTACTAGTTCATTTTATTTTCTTATTTTTGGCATATTTTCCTTTTAATTAGGTGTAAATAATATTTTGTTTAGTACATGAATTTGTTAATTTTTGTTCTAATAGTTGCTTTAATATTTTTCACCCATTCTTTTTAGGTTGGTTAATAGACATTGTTAGCTTGTACATAAAATTTAGTTCACATTTTTAGGAATTAATTTTAGGTGATTAGTTTAGGTGTGAATAACATGAACAAAATTAGGGTTTAAGTGATGACTTAGGTGAATTAGTTCATTTCCCTTAGGACTTAGAGATTGAATATTCTGGATATGGGACTATAGGGACTATGGGTAGTTATTAGATCCCTTAGAAATCACTAGGATTCCCCTACTGCTATTGGTATATTACTGTCTATATTTGATTGATTGGTGTGGTGTGCCCTCTGGGGATTATTGGTTGTCTGTATGGGTATTGGGATTGCTTGGGGATTGGGAGAGCTGAAGACTTGTGATGATGAAGCCATTGGAGATCCAGAGCTTGAAGACCAACTTCCAGAGTTGATGAGGAGATTCCTGCTAGCAGCTGTCGAGGAGACTAGGGTTTAGGAGCTAGGCAGAGCTCTAGATTAGAAAGCTTGTTTCTCAAACATGGAATGGCTTGTCTGCATCTATCCTTTCTCTATGATTCAAAGTCTCTTTCGAATATCCACCTCCTTCCTTTGGAAGGATCAGTGAATGTATTTGAAAGATAGAACTTTTGAGGGAAAATTATCTGTATAATGTTAACAGTTGATGAACCACCCTTGGTAGGTAATTGACTGTCTAACATTCATTCACTTCATCTTGTTGATTGATGTTCCTCTTGGAGATTGAGACTAGAAGAAAAGCCATTGCAGATGGAAGACTGATGACCAAAGCCCTTGCTGGAAAGCTGTGGAGATGGAGATTGATGCTTGCTGAAGCTTGAAGACTGATGTGGTGCAGAGCTGCTGTGGCTGTTTATTTTTGCTGTATTTCATTTCTGATGTATTGATTGGTTTTCTAGACTGTATTGTTTGCTGTTTACCCTGTTGGGTTGAAAGTGAAGTCTGTTCACTTTTGCCTATTGTTTTCTAGGTTCGAGGTTGAGTGGGACTCCCTTGCCTCGCTTGTATTGTTGCATCCATGCATTTTACTGCTCTACTGTATATATCTGCTATTGTTTCTGTTTCCGTCTATTCCCTTAGGATCTCTGTTTCTCTCTGCGCAAGAGAGGAGCATGATAGACATTAGGTCTTAACCCATGCATGATAACATTAGGTTAGTTTGATTCCCTTCGCAACCGTAGGTTAGAGTTCTGTCTCTTCTTCCTCAAAACAAACAGAAAAACATAATAAAATTTCAAACTCAATAAAAGACACTTCTTCCGTAAAAGAATGTGAACTCATCAAGACGTCATTTTCGTCCGCTGGGACTGCTAATCAGAAAAACCTTTTTCAGAAGGAATAAAATCAACCAAGACAGACTTGTGTCGTACGTGGCCCGAACTACGTTTGCTCTGATCTTCCATGCAGTGTGGAAGTACGTAGGCATAGGATGCGATATCCTAGCGAACAACCTTCCCCTCCTTTCCCGTAGGTAGACGAACTACGTTGACTATGATTTCTCGTTCCAGACGGGAATACGTAGGCATAAAGTGCGATACTTTGCCGAGTCATTTTTATTTCATTTTATTTTCTTTTAACCCTTAACCATTAGAGTAGATAGAATAACAATCCATACCCGAAAACAAGCGTGGATCCCGTCGAGTACGACGGACGTGAGGGGTGCTAATACCTTCCCCTTGCGTAATCGACTCCCGAATCCAGGTTTTGGTTGCGACGACCATACCTTTCCCCGTGTTGTGTGAGGTTTACTCTGAGCGTTTCCTTTCCCTCCTGTGGGATAAATAACGCACGGTGGCGACTCTTCTGTTCAGCCGGCGCCGATTTTCGCAGTAGCGACACGCAGGACCAACAATTACATTGTATTGGGTCAGATTGCTAGGCCCAACCCAAACAATTGTCAGGGCTTACGTGGCGTAGTGAATATCAGCACGTGGTCTTCACCCTAGATCAACTGCCCCGTAATCTTTGGAAGGTGGATTGACCGACTCTTTCGGAGGTGGGTAGTTGTCTGATGACGTGTCCTCGCGTAGGGGAAACGTATGAGCTTCTTCGTCAAGGGAGTTGTCTGCCCGACATATATGCCTTGTTGAGGCTCGTGCCTGACAGAGGGGGATTAAGCATTGATGGGTCTTATCAGCATAGTGTTGGGTTGGGTCTGTCTGACTGAGGGGCAGGTCTCGGCCCAGTCCAGAACACTTATATCGTTTTGTCAAAATTTTATCAAAAAATTTGATAGAACGATTGAAATTTTCGATAAAAAAATCCAGTATGCATTTTTACTCCTTTTTTTAAAAACGAATTTAATTACTAGATTTTTTGATAAATCCAATATTTCAGATAGTTTTTTGAATTTTTGAAAAATTCAATAGTTAATTTTTGATAAGAAAAAAATTAACACTATTGATATGGACGGTAGTTTTTCCGGCATATTTGAAAAAACAAGTAAAAAATCATATTTTTGTTTGAAAATTATGATTTTATACCACAAATTTGAATAATACGGTGTAAAAAAGTATGATTTGTGGAAAATTATATTATTTCACCCCTATTTTATAATAATATAGGTGTAAAATGTATATTTTCTTAGGCTTGTTTTTATTAAATTCGGTAAAACCTTATACATGTCTCAAAAAATCAATGAAAACTCATAATTCTCTAAAAATCCGATAACACAAAATTTTTGTAAAAAATTCAAAATTCAAAAAATATATAAGGTAAAAACACTACTAATGCGGGGTGTTAGGCGTAAATGGGAAGGTGTTTGGATAAAATGTCATTTATCTCTTTAAAATGGAATCTACGTAACATTGATTGAAGAAAAAACGAGCCATCATGGCCCACCAGAGTTGTTAAAAAAGGAATGCGAGAAATGTGAACTGCGACAGTTAACAACCCAAAGCGTTTTAATAAAGCATGATTGAACCAACAGTTGAATTTTGTTACAGTATCCTTCAAATTTCAACGCAGCAAGTTTCCAAGAAATAATCAACAGCAATTGTTCATTACTACCCACTCAATGTATGCTTGTTTCCCTTCCAGTATTAAGATTCACAATCAATCATGCTTATTAAAACCAATTTAGCTTATTCAGATGGCTAGCAGTAGCATAAACTCCTCAATTTCACCTTTCAGAAATCACTATTATGATGTCTTTGTGAGCTTCAGAGGTGAAGACACTCGCAACAATTTCACTGATTTTCTTTTTGGCGCCCTCCAAACACAAGGCATTCTCGCATTTAGGGATGACACTAATCTTCCAAAAGGTGAATCCATTGCACCCGAGCTCCTTCATGCAATCCAACACTCTCACATTTTTGTTGTTGTCTTCTCAACGAACTATGCTTCTTCAACTTGGTGCTTACAAGAATTGGAAAAGATATGCGAATGCGTTCAGGTGTCTGGAAAACACGTTCTTCCTGTTTTCTATGATGTTGATCCTTCTGAGGTCAGACATCAAAAAGGATTTTATGCCGAAGCCTTTTCCAAACATGAACACAGATTCCAACATGACTCTCTGATGGTGTCAAGATGGAGACAAGCTCTAACACAAGTGGCAAATCTCTCTGGTTGGGATCTACGTGATAAGTAAGTAAAACATATGCTATTTTTTTTACTATGTATGTGCTGTTTCTCTATGTGATGATTTGGTGTCAATGGTCTACTTCTACGAACTTTCAGGCCACAATCTGCAGCAATGAAAGAGATTGCTCAAAAGGTAATTAATATATTGGATTACAAATCTTCATGTGTTTCAAAAGATTTAGTTGGTATGGATTCTCCTATCCAAGAATTAGAAAAGCTTTTACTTTTGGACTCGGTTCATGATGTTCGTGTCGTAGGAATTTGTGGGATGGGAGGAATAGGGAAGACAACTCTTGCTGCTGTTTTATATGATCGGATCTCTCAACAATTTGGTGCATGTTGTTTTATTGATGATATAAGCAAAATTTATAGACTACATGATGATAGTCCACTTGGTGCACAAAAGCAAATTCTAGATCAAACTCTCGGACAAGAGCACCATCAGATATCCAATCATTACAACGCAACTAATCTGATACGACGCAGGCTATGTCGCCAAAGGGCCCTTATCATTCTGGATAATGTTGATCATATTGAACAACTAGAAAAATTAGCTGTGCATCGTGAATGGTTAGGTGCCGGTAGTAGAATCATTATCATTTCTAGAGATGAGCATATATTGATACAGTATAGGGTGGATGCAGTTTACAAAGTTCCTCTCTTGGATTCTATTAACTCTCTTCAATTATTGTGTCGAAAAGCTTTCAAACTTGATCACATTTTGAATAGTCATGAAGGGTTGGTTAATGGTATACTACATTATGCCAATGGCCTTCCACTAGCAATTAAAGTATTGGGTTCATTTTTGTATGGTCGAGATGTATCTGAATGGAGCAGTGCATTGGCAAGATTGAGAGAAAGTCCAGAAAAAAATGTCATGGATGTGTTGCGAATAAGTTTTGATGACCTAAGGGAGACAGAAAAAGAAATATTTCTTCATATTGCTTGTTTTTTCAACATGCATACGGAGAAATATGTTAAAAGTGTGTTAAATTGTTGTCAATTTCATGCCGATATTGGATTAAGGGTTCTCATTGATAAATCACTTGTAAGCACCAAACATGGAAGGATTGTAATGCATAATTTGTTGCAAGAGCTAGGCAGAAATATTGTTAAAGAAAACACAAGTAAAGAGCCCAGAAAGTGGAGAAGGTTGTGGTTCGAGAAACAACTCAACGATGTTAAGTTGGAAAATATGGTAAAGTAGTTGTTTGGATATTAAAAACTTATTTCATTTTTAAATCCTAACTGTATTGAAAGTTATTTAAGTTCTTTTTTCTTATTTTTTGTTATGCTTTAGGAAAAAAATGTTGAAGCCATAGTTTTGGATCATGATTATGAAGAATATAGTGAGGTTGATAAAGATATGGATGCAGTGATACTCATGGATGCAGTGATATTCGAAGACTTTTCCAATCTTAGACTGCTCATCCTTGATTATGTGAATGTATCAAGAAGTCTCAATTGTCTTTCTAACGAATTGAGATATATTGAGTGGAGTCATTATCCTTTTATGTATTTGCCATCAAGTTTTCAACCAAATCAACTTGTTGAGTTGATATTGAAGTCTAGCAGCATCAAACAACTCTGGGAAGGCAAGAAGGTATTTTAAATTCTTATATTATTTTTTTCTCAGAAATTGAAACAATTCATTTCTTTCCTCCTTTTGAAGATAAATTATTAAACCGAAGAAAGTAATGCATTTACTTTTGTTGATCTTTCATACAGTATCTGCCTAAATTGAGAATTTTGAATATGAGCCACTCCAAAAATCTAATAAAGATGCCAGATTTTGGAGAGTTCCCAAATCTCGAGCGGTTAAATCTGAAAGGATGTATAAAACTTGTGCAGTTGGATTCATCTCTTGGGCTTCTAAGAAAGCTTGTTGACTTGGATTTAGAATATTGCGGAAGTCTAGTAAGCATACCCAACAACATATTTGGTCTCAGCTCTCTTAAATATCTAAATATGCATGGATGTTCTGGTTGTTGTTTCAAAGAGTTTAACAATACAAGGCATTTGGATATAAGTGAAACTGCTTCACATTCCCAATCAACGTCTTCCATCCGCAAGTGGGCCATAAACACTTCCTTGCTTCACACTCCCTCAATAAATACGCCTATGTTTCCTTCCTTCCTTAGCAAATATTGTTTACGTGAACTTGATATTAGCTGTTGTGGTTTAAGCCAAGTCCCTGAGGCTATTGGATTTTTACGTTGCTTAGAAATGTTAAATGTCGGGGGGAACAATTTTGTAACACTGCCTAGTCTTAGGGAGCTTTCCAAACTTGTATATTTGAACTTGGAGAATTGCAAGTGTTTGGAATCTTTGCCTGAGCTTCCTTTTCCTACTACTATCAAGAAGGATCTTCGAAAGAACAAATATATGTGGAGAACAGGATTGTTCATTTTGAACTGTCCTAAATTAGGCGATAGGGAACGATGGAGTATAATGACATTTTCATGGATGACACAATTCATTCAAGTGAACAAAGAATTCTTTGATATTGGTATTGTCATTCCAGGAAGTGAAATACCAGCTTGGTTCAAAGATCAGAGTGTTGGTAGTTCAATACGTGTATCTCCTTTTATGCAGGACAAGGGCAATAATGTCGTTGGCTTTTTATGTTGTACAGTATTTTCTTTAGTACCTTATCCACCAAAAGTGACAAGATTTCCTGAATGGATAGAATCGGTACATATGAAACTGCATGCACCGTTAAGAACCACTACATATCTTCCAATAATTGCTAATGAAGATGTTGTTACTGTCAAATCAAATCACATATGGCTAATCTATTTTCCTTGGAAGTCATCTTCTCGTGCTGTGTATGATCATTTCCGTGTTGGAATTGTTAGAAATAGAAGCTTGGATGTGGAGGTGAAGAAATGCGGGTATCGTTGGGTATATGAACAAGATCTACAAGAGTTCAACTCAACAACAATACATCCTGAGAAGATGTTAGCTCTGAAGCGCAAGTTTTGGGAAATTGAAGATGAGGCACAACCACAACCACAGCTACACTCGTTCAGATCATGAAATAAATCTTGACTTTTTTGCAATTGAAGGTGACACATTTTTCCTAGTTATTTTGTTATCTATAAATAAAAAATCATTTTTATTTATTTAATCATAATATCAACTTAATATTTAATTTTAAAATTAAATTTATTTTTAATTTCATAATGTTTACTTTTTACCTTATGTAAAAAATTAAATATGAATATTTTAAATAAATTATAATTATAATTTACTCATAACTTTAATATAAATAAATTATTAATAATTATAAACAAAATTAACTAAAAATAAATTTTAATTTTGTAAAGTTTAATTTTTTATGTCACTCTTTTTTATATAAAAAGCTTTAAAAATATTGACATATAAAAGACATATAGAGTTTACAACATGATTTCGCCAGAAAAATACTTTTTTTCTTTCTATTTTAGATGTGGTTAATTTGAAGGGTAATTTAATCTCAATAAAAAATACGGAAATATTTAATTGTCAACTTTAACATTTATTTAATTATAATAGATTAAAAGAAACTCCATTTCCCTTTGTTTGTCGGTAATAAGATAAGAACAAAATACTCAAATGCAGTTTATTCTTTAATTTATCTTGTTATACAATATATGCTTTGCTCTTTAAATTTATGAAACTTGCTTCAACTTGATGATTTACCCTTAACCAATTTTCATTGTGATTCCTAGGAGACACCTTTAGACAACACATGTACAAGAAGAAACATTGACTTGATTTCCATTTATGTTGTCACTCAAAGGTCAGCAAGGGGCCAAATGGGGGTATGAAGCTTGTTAGCTTAAGATGGTCTTTTTCACTGTATTTGGATCCATATTTTTGCATGTAATAATATGGTTGTTCTTTTGTTCGTGTTTTATTCAACTCATTTTTTGTCTAATATGCTTTCATTTTTCACTGTATTTGGATATCTCATTAACAATTCGTCATCACTTTAATCTCTCTAATCCTTTTAAAACATACCTTAATCTATGAGGTAGATCAAGTAATTTTTTCAAGCAATGCAGAATATGTTGAAGGGTAATGCGTCCCGATGAGGGCAAATACGGTCGTTGCGGTGTTATGATGCGGCCGTTGCGACATTATGATGCGGTTTTTAGTGTGATTTACAATCACACCGCAATTGCGGCCTGATGCGAATGTGAACAATACCGCAACCGCAATATTGCGGCCGCGTCAGGTGATGCGGTCCGCAATTTAAAACCATGGTGATTTCCTGAAAATCAAAGAAACAGTCCATGGTCTCTCGCTCCCGCTCTAAAACTTAATATCACATCTTGGCCAGCTTTTGATTCTGAATTCCGATGGCTGCATTTCTTATTTGAAGAACTACATGTCTATTTCTATCAATGAGTTTTAGTTTATTATGAGAACATCCACTTGGCTCGTAATAACCCCAAAACCTCAGCTCAAATTATTGACATTCTCGCAAAACCACTTCTATTTCTTTCATTCTCTTTCCTTGTTTCCAAGCTTTTTCTATGTGATCTCCATTGTCCAGCTTGAGGGGAGTATTAGGATTAGAATTGAGTTGTTAGTTTGTTTATCATCTATTTTCTGTTTCATCTGTTTTTTTCCTTCACTTCCAATGATGTTTAAATGTAATGAAGCCAAAAGAGAAAGAGATTCTAGAAGCAGTGTATGAGTCAGCAAAACAGATGGAGGGCCCACAAAATATGCATGAAAGGGATATGGCTAACAATAACGCGGAAATAACGGGACTACGCAGGGGAATGAGGCCTCAGCCACCTCACAGCATATGGAAAGAATATGCGAAGGCATGAATCAGTTATATACTAGATTAGTAATGGAGTGTAGGTATGCGATTGGTGAAGTTGTTATTCTTCTCCCTCAAACTCTCTTTTCACATCTGGTTTTCTTGCATTCCAACTATTCGGTGAAAGTTCTATAACAAAAATTATTCTCATTATCATTCCCATTTCTAGTAACTATTTCAGTACTGTTTCATTAAACTATTGTATCCTCCTATGTATTTTCAATAATACAATTGAATATGATAGATACACATAGTTTAATAAGCACAGTCTGTTTATACTAGCCCAACTAGAATTGAAATGTATGAAGGTGATCAGGGTCCTTCGTAGTTTCGAAAATATGATTCAATATGATTGAGAAAAATTGTTTAATATGTAATTGATTCGGTTGTTTATTTGTGGAGGACAAAATATATCACCATTTGACAACTTTTACACAGTTGTTTAAGTTGTTAGTAACATTCATCAGATGGTCACTAAATATATCAACTGTCAGAACTCATTAACCATCACTTTAACTGTATTAATTATGGATTTAGATGTGTTGAACCATGATTTTCAGGTGTTCAAAATTCAAATTTATGTAGAAATGAACACTTGAAAATTATGGTTAGTTAATGAGTTTTGACACTTGATATATAAACTAACCACTAATCGACTGAACATGATTAACCACCAATTTGAATAGTGTTAACCACTTGACAAATCATCACGAAAGTTGTCTAAATTTGGTCGTCCAAAAATCATTTCTCTAATCATAGTTGAGACAACAAAATAACTATTTGTCTACAAAAAAACTCTTGTTGGCTGTCTACAAGTTGTTTTCTGCTCCCATCACTAATGGGTGCCTCTTATGACTTTTAGTTGGAAAAATAAATATACAAAACAACAACTTGTATTTTAAGTTTTTTTATGAGATGCTTACAGGAAAATGTAAATAGTTAAATAATTTAATACTGACATAGACTTGGTAAACAGAAAGTTGTCATGCACAAGTGTTTGAGATGCCATAAAGATTAGAACAAGGAATGAAAATTCAGCGTCTACGTGTGAAAAGGTGCCAAGAAAATCAACGCTAAAAGATAAGCTTAATGGTTGCCTTTTATGACTTTTGGCTAAAAAATCAATTAAGGATTAAAATGACTTAAATTTCCATACAATGAATGATACAAGTCCTTTAAAGATGCAGGAAGTTTTCTGTAAAATGTAAGTCAGATGGCTATGGCGAGCAGCAGCAACTCCTCCTTTTCAGCTCCGGTAATATTGCCAGGGAAGATGAATTTTGATGTCTTTGTGAGTTTCAGAGGTCAAGATACTCGTTTCAATTTCACGGATCATCTTTTTGCTGCCTTAGAAAGTAAAGGGATCGTTGCATTCAGGGATGACAATAATCTTCAAGAGGGAGAATCTATAGGAACCAAACTCCTTTGTGCAATCGAACACTCTCTGATTTTCGTTGTGGTCTTCTCTATCAACTATGCTTCTTCAACTTGGTGCTTGAAAGAATTAGAAAAGATCCTTCAATTAAGTCAATTATTTGGAAAACAAATTTTGCCTATTTTCTATGATGTTGATCCTTCTAATGTCAGACATCAAAAAGGAAGCTATGCAGAAGCCTTTTCCAAACATGAACAAAGATTTAAACATGACTCTCAGATGGTTCAAAGATGGAGGGTAGCTTTAAACCATGTTGCCAATCTCTCTGGTTGGGATGTTCGTCAAAAGTAAGTAATCCTCCTTCCTCTCACATACATACATATAAAAATAAAAAACTTGTTTTTTGTTTCTGTTTGTGGTTTCCTGATGTGATGATTTGGTGTTACTTGTCAACTTGTTTAAACTTTCAGGCCACATTCTGCAGAGATTAAAAAGATTGTTCAAAAGATAATTAACATATTGGATTGCAAATCTTCATGTGTTTCAAAAGATTTAGTTGGTATGGATTCTCCTATGCAAGAATTACAAAAGCTTTTACTTTTGGACTCGGTTCATGAAGTTCGCGTGATAGGAATTTGTGGGATGGGAGGAATAGGGAAGACAACTCTTGCTACTGTTTTATATGATCGAATCTCTCAACAATTCGGTGCATGTTGTTTTATTGATGATGTAACCAAAATTTATAGACTACATGATGGTCCACTCGGTGCACAAAAGCAAATTCTAGATCAAACTCTCGGACAAGAACACCATCAGATATGCAATCATTACAATGCGACAAATCTGATACAACGCAGGCTATGCCGTCAAAAGGCCCTTATCATTCTTGATAATGTTGATCATATTGAACAACTAGAAAAATTAGCTGTGCATCGTGAATGGTTAGGTGCCGGTAGTAGAATCATTATCATTTCTAGAGATGAGCATATATTGAAACAGTATGGGGTGGATGCAGTTTACAAAGTTCCTCTCTTAGATTGGACTAACTCTCTTCAGTTATTCTGTCAAAAAGCTTTCAAACTTGATCACATTTTGAATAGTTATAAAGGGTTGGTTAATGGCATACTGCATTATGCCAAAGGCCTTCCACTAGCAATTAAAGTATTGGGTTCATTTTTGTATGGTCGAGATGTATCTGAATGGAAGAGTGCATTAACTAGATTGAGAGATAGTCCAGAAAAAGATATCATGGATGTGTTGCGATTAAGTTTTGATGGGCTAAGGGAGACAGAAAAAGAAATATTTCTTCATATTGCTTGTTTTTTCAACAGGCATTTTGGGGAATATGTTAAAAATGTTTTAAATTGTTGTGATCTTCATGCTGATATTGGATTAAGGGTTCTCATTGATAAATCACTTGTAAGCATTAAAGATGAAATGATTGAAATGCATAATTTGTTGGAAGAGCTAGGCAGAAATATTGTTGAAGAAAACACAAGCAAAGAGTCCAGAAAGTGGAGAATGTTGTGGTTCGAGAAACAACTCTACGATGTTAAGTTGGAAAATATGGTAAAGTAGTTGTTTGGATATGAAAAACTTATTTCCATTTTTAAATACTAACTGTATTGAAAGTTAAAGTTATTTAAGTTCTTTTTTCTTAATTTTTTGCTATGTTTTAGGAAAAGAATGTTGAAGCCATAGTTTTTTATCATGATAGTTACGGTGTTGTAGAAGGTATGGATGCAGCGATATTCGAAGACTTTTCAAATCTTAGATTGCTCATCTTCGAGTATGTGAAAGTATCGGGAAGCCTCAATCATCTTTCTAACAAATTGAGATATATTGAGTGGAATTATTATCCTTTCATGTATTTGCCGTCAAGTTTTCAGCCCAATCAACTTGTTGAATTGATATTGAAGTGTAGCAGCATCAAACAACTCTGGGAAGGCAAGAAGGTATTTTAAATTCTCATATTATTTTTTTTCTTAGAGATTGAAACAATTCATTTCTTTCCTCCTTTTGAAGGTAAACTTGTAAACAAAATAAAGATATGCATTTAATTTTGTTGATCTTTCATACAGTATCTGCCCAAATTGAGAGTTTTGGATCTGAGCGACTCCAAAAATCTAATAAAGATGCCAGACTTTGGAGAGTTCCCGAATCTCGAGCGGCTAAATCTGAAAGGATGTATAAAACTTGTGCAGTTGGATCCATCTATTGGGCTTCTAAGAGAGATTGTTTACTTGAATTTAAAATATTGCGAAAGTCTAGTAAGCATACCCAACAACATACTTGGTCTCAGCTCTCTTATAGTTCTAAAAATGCATGGGTGTTCTGGTTGTTGTTTCAAAGAGTTTAACAATCCAAGGCATTTGGATATAAGTGAAACTGCTTCATATTCCCAATCAATGTCCTCCATCTGCAAATGGACCACCAAGCCTTCCCATTCCTTGCTTCCCATTCCCACAACTAACACAGTTATGTTTCCTTCCTTGTTTAGCATATATTGTTTACGTGAAGTTGATATTAGCTGTTGTGGTTTAAGCCAGCTCCCCGAGGCTATTGGATGTTTGCGTTGGTTAGAAATGTTGAATCTTGGGGGCAACAATTTTGTGACACTGCCTAGCCTTAGGGAGTTTTCCAAACTTGTATATTTGAACTTGGAGAATTGCAAGTGTTTGGAATCTTTGCCTGAGCTTCCTTTTCCTACTACGATCGAGCAGGATCTTCGAAAGAACAAATATAGGAGGAAAACAGGATTGTTCATTTTCAACTGTTCTAAAATAAGTGATAAGGAAAAATGCAGTAGAATGATATTTTTATGGATGACACAATTCATTCAAGTGAACAAAGAATACCCTGCCTTCTTTGACATTGGTATTATGATTCCAGGAAGTGAAATACCAAGTTGGTTCAACAATCAGAGCGTTGGTAGTTCAATTCCCATATCTCCTTTTATGCAGGACAAGGGCAATAATGTCGTTGGCTTTTTATGTTGTACAGTATTTTCTTTAGCACCTTGTTATCCAAATATGACAAGTTCTGAAAAGCCTTGGGTATATATGAGACTGCATGCATCACCGTTAAGAACCACTGCATATATTCGGACAATTGCCAATGAAGATGTTATTAGTATCAAATCAAATCACATATGGCTAATCTATTTCCCTTGGGAGTCATCGAATAATGTTGTGTATGATGGTTTCCGTGTTGAAACTTCACGCACTGGAGGCTTGGATGCGGAGGTGAAGAAATGCGGGTATCGTTGGATATATAAACAAGATCTACAAGAGTTCAACTCAACAATGATGCATCTCGGAAATAAGTTAGCTCTGAAGCGCAAGTTTTGGGAAATTGAAGATGAGGCACAACCACAACCACTGCTACACTCATTCATATGATGAAATAAATCTTAAGTTCTTTTTCAATTGAAGGTGACACATTTTTCTTAGTTATCTTGTTATCTATAAATAAAAAATAGTTTTTATTTAGCTAATCATAATATCCATTTAATATTTAACTTTAAAATTAAATTTATTTTTAATTTTGATAATGTTTAATCTTTACCTTATGTAAAAAGTTAAATATGAATATTTTATATGAATTAAAATTATATTTTACTCATAACTTTAATATAAATAAATTATTAATAATTATTAAAAAAATTAACTAAAAAAATTTTAATTTTAATTTTGTAAAATTTAATTTTTTATGTCACTCTTTTTTATATAAAAAGCTCCAAAAACATTGACAAATAAATGACTTTAATTTAACAATATAGAGCTTACGCCATAGAAAGATTTTTTTTTTTTCTATTTTCGAAATCGTTAACTTTAACATTAATTTAATCTTAATAAAAAATACATATAATTGTCAACTTTAACATTAATTTAATAATAAATTCTAAAAATGTCAACATCTCCTAAAAATCAAATATTTAAATTATAATAGATTAAAGAAATTCCGTTTCCTTTTGTTTGTGGAAAATTTGACAGGTGCGAAATGGCGTGGTTTTCAAGAAACTACAGCTTGAACCTTGTGCCATTGCAGGGGATATTTGGGACCTGTTTCATGAAGGTACTTTGGTGGCAAAAAATTCTAGTATTTCTAATCTTGGGAGGGAGGCCAACTCAGTGAAGATTAATGATTGGATCATATGGGCTGCTTCAGAGAGGGTTTTGTTTCTCTTGGTTGTATTATTAAAGACCCTACTTTTAACATTTTTTCTGCTGTGTCTAAAAGATTCCCAAGTGCGACTGATCCCGCGAATGCTGAGCTTCTGGCCATCCGTTGGGCTCTCCTGCTGGCCAAAGAGTTTTGTGCTGCAATCGGATGCTCAAGCTGTGGTGGATTATATTAACGGTTTCGTTTTTATAGCTGATTTAGACCCTGTGGTTGCTGATTGTAGGTTGTTAATGAAGCATTTTAATAGTGTCACTCTGATGTTTATTAATAGATTATGCTATTTGGATGCCCACCATATGGTTGGAATTGGTAAGTCTTTAGGTTCTAGAACTTGGACTGGGCACATTCCCAATTTGAGCACCCCTCTTTGTACTGTTCTTTCCTCTTAATGATATTTATCTTTTCATAAAAAAAAAAAAAATTTATGAAACTTGCTTCAACTTATGATTTACCCTTAACCACTTTTCATTGTGATTCCTAGGAGACACGTTTAGATAGCACATGTACATGAAGAAACATTGACTTGATTCTCATTTCTGTTGTCACTCAAAGGTCAGCAAGAGCCCAAATTGGGGTCTGAAGCTTGTTAGCTTAAGATGGTCTCTTTTCTCTGTTGTATTGTTTACATACATAAAGATACTGTAATCTAGGCTGTATTTTGTCAAATATGCTTTCATTTTTCACTGTATTTTTGGATCCATATGGTTGTTCTTTTGTTCATATATAATACAAATTATAATACAATGGTCATTCCAGTAAAGCATGTCCCCCAAATTATAAAAAAGATTTGAGATAAAGCAGAACAATAAGTTATTTTGATGCATGAAGAGTCACTAGAAGTGGAGTCTGATTAAGAACAATAAGAATTCCGTCTGCCAAATCTTACATCGGATGAATAACTAGAATTTGATCTTGAAGTGAAGGTTCTTCTACCAGCAATGGAACAGTGATATTGCAAATGGAATTTCTATTCTAGCCCTTAAGAAATAAAGGATGCGCTAGCTACTGAGATAGGGCTAAGTCTGTTATTCCATACCTAGAAATTATGTTATCATTCCATCAACTCTCTTTAGATATCTTATTACGGTAAAATCAAATCAGATGTGGCTAATCTATTTTGATCGGGTATTTTTTTATCAGTTTTCTGAATTCTAAAGATAAAACACTATAGGAACTTGATCATATCAAAATGGAATCTTGACCAGCTTTTGACTTGTGACTTTCATTGGAAGCATTTCTTATTTATTAGAAGAACTTGTAGGTTATTATTCTCAGAATTTGGGTTGGATTTATCTCATTCCTACAAAACCGTCTTGTAGGTTGGGAATTGCGCTCACTTAAACATATACTATATCTCTAAGCAATGTGGGACTAAATTCACCCCTTCAAACCAATCACAATTTAGGTGTTGGAGACTGCAATAAAGACTAAGGCGACTAGGGGCGGACTACAATTAAGGCAGAAATTCCAATATTATGATAACAAATCAGCTAATCACTTGGCTCATATAGCAACCCAAATATTTCATTAAAGGACCAAAAACATCGAGATTGATTGTCGTGTCATAAAGGGGAAGATTTAAAATCGCAGCATTCATATGCTTCTGATTGCTTCCTCAGCTCAAATTACTCACATTCTCGCAAAACCTTTTCCATTTGTTTCATTCTCTTTAGTGAAGGATTTTTTTACTTTATTTGAATAGATACAAATTATAACATATTATAATTAACAAGAATAATAATCAATATAGTAAGAACGGTGTATCTTGTAGGATTTGAGAGACGACTTTCAGAAAAGTGAGTATGAGAGAATTACTACCCTCATTGTTGTTTAGGATTTTTTAGAATATATTAATTGTTTAATGGGGAGACACTTAAATAGCTAAACGGACTTGACTGAATGCTCCAACTCATCACGATTTATTCAGACACAAAACTCAATCAAATAATTCATCTATTTAGTGTTTAATAACAATAGACAATAATATAATTAATTAATAATTAATTATGTCAATTTATATTTGATTAATTAAATAATTAATCTAACAATCTCCCACTTGAATGACAATAATTAATTATTAAAAATATTGACTTTAATATTAGAATATCAATAATGGTCAGAACACTAATCAAACAAAAAGAATTAAATTTTAACGCTGCAGAAATTATATTCGATGGGGAAGACAAATCATACATGTTAAAACTCATAACTTTATATAAAGAATGATAACTTTATAGTAACATATTTAACGTAATATGTTATAAAGAATGACCCAAGTATATGAAAATGCTATTGATAAACTCTCAGTAACCTAAAGTATCATAAAACTTACCCATGTGCATAAGTCTATGGTTAGTGATTATACTAATGAGTTTTAAATTATAGGTCATAGAATATTCACATAGGTCTAAAAATAATAATTACATATAGGCATACCTATTAAGAGAGTAATTACATTTAATTATAAGTACCTTCATTACACAATATCATATTCGATAGGAGTATTGATATTTACTTGTACTTTCATATTATTACCTAACAAATGTGAACTATTGAAGATAGAATAACACAATATTATTGTATGTTTAAAAATTATTGTGTTTTTCAATATTTACATAAACATTAAATTATGATGTTTCTTGAGATTAAGAAAATAATATATATTTCAGTATAATAGAATAAGACTTTTTAGAGTTATTATATATTTTGAAGTCTTCTTAGAATATGTTATATTTATAATGCACTCAAGAATATATGACACTAATAATAATAATCTAAAATTTTAAATTATATAATTATGCGCACATACACTCCCACTAATTCAAAATAATTAAGAATTAACGAGTCCACTAATATTAAATACTCTGATTATAAAATAGGATATTAATTTTATTTTAGTCCAAAACTATCTAGAGAAGTGGTTATATAATATATCATCATTAGAGTTTTACAAATTCAACCACATATTTTGCACATAAACAAATAATGTCATTATTTAAATAATTTTTACATGAAAGAGTATGATAGTCATATAAGAGATTTATCATCATTTAAGTGAGATCAAATCCATGATTAATTAAATAATTATGTTAATCTATATTTAATTAATTAAATAATTAATCTAACATTTACTTTGTTTCCAAACTTTTTCCATGTGATCTCCATTATTCAGCTTGAGGGGAGTATTAGGATTAGAATTGACCTGTTAGTTAGTTTGTCATCTATTTTCTATTTTAACTGTTTCAATTTCAGCTGTTTTTCCTTCACTTCCAATGATACTTAAACCATTTTATTAGTTACAGAGACTTGGTAAACAGAAAGTTGTAATGCACAGGTGTTTGATGATGCCATAAAGATTAGAACAAGGAATGAAAATTCAACGTCTACATGTGAGAAGGTGCCAAGAATCAACGTTAAAAGATAAGCTAGTTTTATTATACATATTTCAATATATCTTCGTCTTCTAAAATATGGCTAGCAGTAGCAGCAGCAGCTCCTCTTCTTCAGATCTGATGAAATTGCCAGAGAGGAGGAATTATTATGACGTGTTTGTCAGCTTCCAAGGGAAAGATACTCGCCTAAATTTCACTGATCATCTTTTTACTGCCTTTAAGAAAAAACATGTTAGTGCATTTAGGGATGAAAGTGATCTTCAACAAGGTGAATCCATAGCACCTGAACTCCTTCGTGCAATCCAAGACTCTCGAGTTTTTGTTGTGGTATTCTCAAGGAACTATGCTTCTTCAACTTGGTGCTTACAAGAATTGGAAAAGATATGTGAATGCGCTCAAGTGTCTAAAAAATATGTTCTGCCTGTTTTTTATGATATTGATCCTGCTGACGTGAGGCATCAAAGAGGAATTTATCGTAAAGCCTTTGCCAAACATGTACAAAGGTTCCAGCAACAATCTGAGAAGGTGCGGAGATGGAGGAAAGCTCTAACTCACCTTGCCAATTGCTCCGGCTGGGATCTATGTCATAAGTAAGTAATCTTAACCTTAAGTCTATCTTTTAGATTTAAATATGTTTTTTCGTTCATCTAAATGTACTTTTTGTATTTTAAGTCCTTGTTGTTTTGTTTCAATTGCTGAAATATTTCGTTCTTTAAATTTTCAGATCACAATCTGCAGCGATTAGAAAGATTGTTGGAAGGATAAAAATATACTACATTGCAGATCTTCCAGTGTTTTAACAGATTTAGTTGGGACGGATTCTCCTATTGAACAGTTAGAGAAGTTTCTACTTTTGGACTCACTTGATGATGTCCGTGCCGTAGGAATTTGTGGGATGGGAGGAATAGGGAAGACAACTCTTGCTATGGTTTTAATCGAGAGAGTCTCTCATCAATTTGGTGCATTTTGTGATATTATTGATGTAAGAAAAATTTATGGATTACATGGTCCACTTGGTGCACAGAAGCAAATTCTAAATCAAAATCTTGGCGATAAACACCAACAGATGTGCAATCTCTATAATGGAACTAAGTCGATGAGAAGTAAGCTATGTCATAAAAGGTCCCTTTTGATTCTTGATAATGTTGATCATGTAGAACAATTAGAAAAAATAGCTGTGACCCTGAACTGCTAGGTGAGGGAAGCAGAATCATTATCATTTCTAGAGATGAACATATATTGAAATCGTATGGAGTGGATGCAGTTTACCAAGTTCCGCTTTTGAATTGGTCTAGCTCTCTTCAATTACTGTGTCGAAAAGCTTTCAAATTTGATCATGTTATTATGAGTAATTATGAAGAGTTGGTACATAGCATACTACATTATTCCAATGGCCTGCCACTAGCAATTGCAACATTGGGCTCATTTTTGTATGGTCAAGATATCTCGGAATGGAGAAGTGCATTGGACAGATGGAGAGAAAGTCCAAACAAGGATGTCATGGAAAAAGAAATATTTCTTCATATTGCTTGTTTTCTCAACATGCATACGGAGAAGTATGTTAAAAATGTTCTAAATTGTTGTGGATTTAATGCTGATAATGGATTTAGCCTTCTCGTTGATAAATCACTTATAAGCATTCAGGATGAAATGGTTGTGATGCATAATTTGTTGGAAGAGCTAGGCAGAAAGATTGCTCAAGAAAATTCAAGCAAAGAGACAACAAAATGGAGAAGGTTGTGGTTCCACAAGCAACTCGAGGATGTTATGTTGGAGAAGATGGTAAAGTAGAACTTTTCAAAAACTAAATGTATTGAAAATTATTAATGCTTTTTTCCTTCATTTTTTGCTATGCTCTAGGAAAAACATGTTGAAACCATAGTTTTGGATCATGAATATGATGACTGTAATGAAGATGATGAAGACGATGAAGTGATAGTCGATAACTTTTCAAATCTTAGATTGCTCATCATCAAGTATGTGGAAGCATCAGGAAGCCTCAATTATCTTTCTAACAAATTGAGATATATTGAGTGGTGCGAATATCCTTTCATGTATTTGCCATCAAGTTTTCAGCCTAATCAACTTGTTAAGTTGATATTGGAGTATAGCAGCATCAAACAACTCTGGGAAGGAAAGAAGGTATTTTAAAATTCTCGTGCAATTATTTTCTTTTCAGAAACATTAACAAGTTTAAAACAATTCATTTTCCCCCTTTTGTTGATCTTTCGCACAGAATCTTTCGAAATTGAGAACTTTGAATCTGAGCTACTCCAAAAATCTAATAAAGATGCCAGATTTTGGAGAGATCCCAAATCTTGAGCGGCTAAATTTGGAAGGATATATAGAACTTGTAGAGTTGGATCCATCTATTGGGCTTCTAAGAAAGATTGTTTCCTTGAATTTAAAAAATTGCAATAATCTAGTAAGCATATCCGACAACATATTTGGTCTCAACTCTCTTAAAGATCTAAATATGTCTGGTTGTTCCAAATTGTTTAACAATCCAAGGCAGTTGAATAGAAGTGAAAGTGCATCACATTTTTTATCAACGTCCTCGAACTTCAAATGGACCATGATGCCTTACCATTCTTGGCTTACAACTCCCGCACCACACTTACATTTGTTGCCTTACTTGCTTAGCTTATCTAGTTTGTGTGAATTTGATATTAGTTTTTGTGTTCTACGCCAAATTCCCGAAGCAATCAGTTGTCTACGCGGGATAGAAATATTAAATATAGGGGGGAACGATTTTGTGATGTTGCCTAGTCTAAAGGAGCTTTCCAAACGATTTTCGTCCTTTAACTTTAGTTCGGGGTTCAGTTTGGTCCCTTATCTTAAAAAAGTGTCAAGTTGACCCTTTAACTTTTAAAATGGTGTCACGTTTATCCTTCCGTTTGTTGCCGTTAGTCAAACTTTGAAAAAAATGTCACGTTTGTCCAGGTGGAACTGCTGACGTGGATATGAAATGTCTTAAAGGAAGATAAAACAATCCAACGTTTCCATTACCCAGAAGAAGGCACGATACAACACTTGGAGAATTCATTGAATCATTGAATCATTAAAGACGATTCAAGGTTTGCAGACGCGAAGATTCAAGACGCGAAGGATTGAGGGCGGAGGATTGAAGACAATTCAAGGAGACATAATCAAAAGGTTAGTTCATTTGTCTCTTTTTTAGGGTTTTCTGCTAGAGGTTCAGATTTAGTGTTTATGTAAATTTGTTAGTGTAAACTCTAGTTATTTAGATGATATGATTAGGTATCATGGATGAATACATAACTCTCAAAATTCATCATAGTGGTGAGTTCACAGATGAAGGTCGTAATGTATATGAGAATGGAGTAGTAGATGATTTGAGAGTAGATGTAGACAAATGAAGTTATTTTGAGCTAGTTGGTGTATTGAAAGACTTAGGTTATAGGGAGTTTGAAATAATATTTTACAAGGACCCTCAATTTGGGATGAATCCACTTGTTGATGACAATGGTACTTTAGAAATTGCATATCTGTATTGGGTGCACCAAAATGTTGATATTTATATTGAACACACCTTGTCTCAACCTGACTACTATGATATTGTTGTTGATGAAGTTGATGAGGACCCTGCTGAAATTGTAGATAAGGTAGAGGAGTTACTTAGTCAACTGTGTGATGAAGTTGTTGAAGTTGAACAAACCACTGTTGGGTTGGAGGAAGGTGATGTTAGAGTTGATGAAGCCATTGTTGGGTTGGAGGGAGGTGATGTTAGAGTTGATGAAGCCACTGCTGGGTTGGAGGAAGGTAATGTTGGAGTTGATCAAGGGAATCATGTAGTGGATGAACATACTGTTGGAGTTGAACAGGGGAATCCTGCAGGGGAAGAAGGTAATGTTGAAGTTGAAAAAGGGAATCCTGCAGGGGAAGAAGGTAAGGTTGGAGTTGAAAAGGTAAAGCTACAGTGTATGATGACTTAAGTTTATTATCTGATAATAGTGTAGATGAGGACTACAATTATGATAGCGCACAAGATGTTGCTTTTGAGGATGAGTCTGATGGGTGTGATGAGATTGAGGAGGATGAACTTGATACCCTAGTTGGTCATGAAAATGATGGTAATGGAGAAGTCCTAGAAAATGATGGTAAAGGGAGTGACAATGACAGTGAGGACATGCAAAGTGGTTGTGACAGTGATGATAGTAGTGGAGTTCTAAGATAAAAAACATCCAATTTTCAGACAGCCAAAAGACATGTCAGATTACAAGTGGGATGCGGGATGTACTTTAGTTCAAAGGGTGATTTTAGGGAAGCAATAACAACTTATGCTGTGCAAAATGGTAGAGACATAAGGTTTGTAAAAAATGACAGAGTTAGGGTAAGGGTTAGATGTAAAGTTGGTTTTGAGTGGGAGGCTTATTGTAACAAGTTGTCAAATGAAGACACTTGGCAACTCAGGAAAGTAATTGACAAACACAGTTGTAGTAGAGAGTATAATGTGAAGCTGATGAGTACAAAGTGGTTGAGTAAAAGAATTCAGAATAGCTTGAAAAACAACCCAGGATTGAGTATAAAGGATATCAAGGAGAAGGCACGAAAAAGTGGAATGTTGGGGTCAACAAAACCAAAGCTATAAGAGCAAGATTTGCAGCTAGAGACTATGTTGATGGTTCCTTTTTGGGAGATTACACAAGGGTCTATGACTACTGTCATGAAATGTTAAGAGCCAATCCAGGGTCAACAGTTAAGCTCAATGTTGATTCTGTACAAGTAGGTGTTGAGGATGAAAAACCATATTTTAGAAGGTTTTACATATGTTATACTGCGTGTAAGGAAAGCTTTAAGTTGTGCAAACATGGAATAGGTCTATATGGGTGTTTTCTTAAGGGGTTGTATGGAGGGTAGATTCTTGATGCCATTGGGAGGGATCCTAATGATCAGATGCTTCTCATAGCATATGCAGTTGTGGAGAGTGAAAACAAGGATAGCTGGACTTGGTTTTTAGAGCTGTTAATTGATGACCTTGGAGGCAAAGATGAATGTCTGACTTACACCTTCATCTCAGACCAACAAAAGGCAAGTTTTTTATTTATTCTTATTGTTTTATGTGTTTATGTTATGATATTCCTGTTATGCTATATTGTAATGCTACATTGTATGTTATTGTAGGGTCTGCTACCTACTATGGATGAGCAATTGCCAAGGGTGGAGCACAGGTTTTGTGTTAGGCACCTCTATAACAATTTTAGGAAAAAGTTTTCTGGAAAGATGTTGAAGGACATAATATGGAAGGCTGCCAAGTCAACATACCCACAGGCATGGAAAAGAGAGATGAAGGGAATGAGGGACATCAATGAAGAAGCATTTAAACATATGATGAAGACCCCACCAATATTTTGGAGTAGATATTACTTTAGGACTGAAAACAAATGTGATGTTGTTCTCAACAATATGTCTGAGTCCTTTAATAGTGTCATTCTTGAAGCAAGGGGAAACCTCTAATCACTATGTTATAATACATCAGAACATACATGATGGAGAGATGGGCAAATAACAGAATGAGATTTGGTACTTTGGATGAGAATGATATTTTGCCCAATATTAGAAAGAAACTTGATGTCACAAGCACATACACCAACAACTGGCTAGTAAGGTATGTAATATCAGCATACATTAATTCTTTAGGATGTCTATGACATACATGTGACTAATGTATTTTGTTTGTTTAATCATTTAGGATGTCTGATGAACATATATTTGAAGTAAGGCACCTAGAAAATCAAGCTGACAAGTTTGTTGTGAACCTGAAAGATCAGATATGTTC